GCTGCTTCTTACACGGTTTCAGTGGATAAATATTCTAGTTATATTGCATCTTCACAAAAGCAAAGATAGGATCTTGTACTAAAATCATCGCTCAGTACTGATACGTGACGCTTTAAAGGCGGCAAAATCTTCACCACCCTGTTCAAATAAATCAATCATAATTTGATTGTCTCTTTCAAAATTTCGAGACTGGCTACGAGAGCCTTATCGACAGTATTTCAGTTGACGAAGTTCTTCCGATCGCACCAAAAGTTCTGGAAGAAAACGGGCTGTTCTTGAGGAACCGATGCCTGTAATTAAATATTCTCGCGCTGTAAGTCGCCAGGGTGATACTTTCTATCATTTGTTTTGAATGCGGCAAGAGATTTGATCATGTATTCCACCAGATAGCTGGAGTCTCCTATATGTCTTAGCATCGAGACGTCTTTACAGAAAACCTAAAATTCTTTGCATTCGACAACCGTAGTACTAATTTTCAACCATCTTTCCAACGCAAAGACATGGATGCCATCTTTGTGCGCAATTTGGCAGAACAACCGACTTCTATATGGATGAAAGCTTGAGTTCGTTGTCGACGAAGAGGTTGAGATTATTTTTTTGACATCAAATTGCGCATAACTGCCCTGAGACCAGATTTCGGTGTGTCTCGCAGCACCAAACTGCTCTTAGTGCACTCCGCCACCAACTCTGGCCTTTGAAAAGTTATGCGCCATTAAATTTCCTTTGTTAAAAATATATCTTGATGTTTTCAAGGGTTTCTTTATATTATGATAACGAGAATTTTCAAGAACAACTATTCCGTTTTCATTCTCCACAAAGGCAGCTGCTTCAAGTTGCCTGCTTACATTGTCACCGCTCCTATTTTATTCATAATGTCATCAACACGCGTTGAAGAGCGACACCTTATTGTCACTGTTTATCTGTATGTCAAGTTGAAGACAGATTTCTTAAATGTATATAAATAATGTCACCGGTCACAGTAATTTTTCAGCATGAACTTGAAATACACCAGCAATACGAGCAACACTTATCCTATGCCATTTAACTTATATTTATTCCCACTCTTCGGCCGTCAATTAAGCAATACTGAATTGCAATTACTCTGTAGAGAAAATATCACAGTTCGCAATATCTTGTATGGTGAATAATTGGCAATATACGACCTGCTTAAAAGCCGAGTTGTCTACCAAATGAACTGTTGAACCAAATGCCTACCAAATGAACCAAATGAACAGCAAGTTAGCAAATGATCTATATTTGAATGATGAAGTTACAAGCCAGGGCTTCATTGGAAGGAAATTCAACTGCTCTACAACATTAACAAGAAGAACTCTTTGAAGTTATGAAATAATACAGGATTCATAGCAGCAACATAGGCACCTTAGAACACCATTTCCTGTATCAATATATGCACCACTGTAATCTCTAAAGTCTGTAGCGCGGTGCATCAACAACAAATTAGATCTCAATAAATCTGTCTGTGCTGAAAATATCTCGCTTGCTCAAATAATTCAGATTTTAATATCTAATTCTCGGTTCTATAGTTAAATTCATTTTGTTTCTTATTTTTGCCCCTTCATTTTTCCTTTATTTATCGTTCCATTATACATTATACAGCTAATCTTTTTGTGCTTTTTTACTTTTTTTGTTTTAATGCATTATTTCACTAGAGCGCATTAATTTTATTCCTTACAATGTTTAACTGTCGCATAATTGCATTGAACTTTTATTCCTTTTACTATTAGTTTTGTGTGATATTGAAAATACATTATGCTCAATACAGTTCCAAAAATGTTCAATGTTAATTAAAAAAACCTTCTTAAAAACGT